GCAAATCCTATCTAGTCGAAGACATTACCCTCAAAAATTGAAATAATTTCCCTTATTCCCCGTAAATGGGGGAAATATCCAAAATAAATTACAAATTTAAAAATCGCTAAATTTCGACATTTTTTCAATTTTTTTTACTTAAAACTGTCATAAATTTTTTAAAAATTACGAAATCAATACAACTTTTTTATTGATGATACATGAGATAATTACCTATCATATCGTATATTTTTTTTATAAATTTGACCCTTTATCTGGTCCCTTTACTAACTATCTTGATTTAAACAATACTAACAGACTAAATCTTTTGAATAAAAATCTTAGAATAAATCATTTCAATACAGAAGAAAATTCCTCTATTAAAGATTTGTGTCATAAATTTAATGATATATTTTTCTTACCGGGAGATAAATTATCTTTTACTAATAAAATGGAACACAAAATAATTACTCCTAATGCTCATCCTATAAATATAAAACAATATAGATACCCTATCTGTCATAAGGAGGAAGTTGAAAAACAACTGAATAGTCTTTTAGACCAAGGTATTATTGAAAAATCAAATAGTCGATGGAATTCACCTTTATGGGTTGTCCCCAAAAAACCAGACGCATCAGGAAAAAAGAAATGGCGTATAGTCGTAGATTTTCGTAAACTTAATGATATCACGGTTGGAGATTCATATCCCCTCCCTAATATTAATGAAATTCTTGACCAATTAGGAAATGCATTTTACTTTATAACATTAGATTTAGCATCAAGTTTTCATCAAATTAAATTAGATACGAATGATGCTCCTAAAACCGCTTTTAGTTCTGGTAACGAACATTATCATTTTACACGTTTACCGTTTGGAAAAAAAGAAGCACCTGCTGCTTTACAACGTCTAATTAATACTGTGCTTGCTTCTTTATTAGGAGTTAAATGTTTTGCATACATAGACGATATAGTTATTTATGGTAGTAGTTTAGTAGATCATAATCATAAATTAGAAGACGTATTTCTCGCATTAAGAAATGCTAATTTAAAACTTCAATCAGATAAATGCAAATTTTTAAAAAAAGAAATTGCTTATTTAGGACATATTATTTCCGAATCTGGTGTTAAACCAAACCCAGATAAAATCAAATCAGTTAAAGAGTTTCCAATCCCAAAATTTGTTAAAGATATAAAATCATATTTGGATTTAGCTGGATACTATAGCCGATTTATTCCAAATTTCTCTAAAATAGTTCGACCTTTAACACTTTTACTATCTAAAAATGTCACATTTAAAATGGGTGATGATCAAATTAACGCATTCAATACTTTAAAAAATATATTAATAACAGAACCAATTTTACAATATACTAATTTTGAAAAACAATTTATACTTACAACAGACGCAAGTAATTACGCTATTGCATCGGTATTAAGTCAAGGTGACATCCCTGATGACTTGCCTATTGCATACGCTTCGCGGATATTCAATAAAAGTGAAATTTCATATACAGTTACAGAAAAAGAATTATTAGCAATAATTTGGTCAGTTAAACATTTCAGACCTTATTTGTACGGAATTAAATTTAAAATCATAATAGATCATAAAGCATTAGTTTGGCTTTTTAACTTAAAAGACCCCAATTCAAGGCTTATGAGATGGAGATTAAAATTATTGGATTTTAACTTTGAAATTGTCTATAAAAAAGGCCTTAGTAATACAAACGCTGATGGACTCTCGAGACCTTCAGAAATATTATATGAACAAATTAACAATCATGAATTAAATAATAATAATAATACTTTGAATACTTTTAAAATTAATGTTCATAGTTATAACAATTTTATAGAAACTCAGAATAAACAACTAATTTTAAACAAGAATATTATAGATTCTAATGATACAATTAATACTACAAAAATTAAAAATATAATATTATTTTGTCCCGTCAATATAAATGATAAATTTGAATTTAAAAATATAATTACTCCTGAAACAAAAGTAAATCAAAATGAAATTTGCATACAAAATAATTACATACTTGTTTATCATAAATTAAATTTCTTTGATTCTTATGATTTTCCTAAANGAATTTCTTTGATTTTTATGATTTTCCTAAATTATTTCAGAACATAGAAACTTTAAAAGAATTACTTTTAAATAAAAAAATTAATCATTTATTTATTCCAAAGCACAAAAATATAAATTGGGAACAATTTAGATCAATGCTTAGGTATATTTTTAAAGGATCTGACATAAAAATAGAATTAGGTCAAAATGACGANTAAAGGATAATCTGACATAAAAATAGAATTAGGTCAAAATGACGACATAAAATTAAAATTAAATACTTCACATCAAATTGCTCGACAAAATCAAGTTCAAAACAGAGAAAATTACAAAAAACATTATGATCCAAAAATTAAGGTGGAAAAAGAAATTCTTAACGTTAATGATATAGTTTTATTAAAAAATGAATCACCAAAAGGTAAACTTAGTCTAAAATTTAAGGGTCCTTATAAAATTGTTGAATTAAATAATAATGTAAACGCAACTATAAAAATAGGTAATAAAAACGTAAAAGTTCACACAAATAGGATAAAAAAATATTTTTCTAAAGAAATTAGCACCATAAAATTAAATAAATCAAAACCAACATTAATTTTACAAGATCATATATTATCATCTTCTAATAATTAATTTGAAAATATTATAATTTTTTTTGGGCACTGGAGGGTACTATAACTCAAAATGTAAAAAAAAACAATAATTATAATATAATAGATCTAAATAATAGTCCGGCAATAGCTTACGAAAAATTAGGTAAAGCTAAGGTATACAAAAACTTTTGGACATTCACGTCTTATATAAATATAGAGCTCATAGAAAATAAGGCTCTTGAAATAAGTAATATGTTTGTAACGTGACAAAATGTGAATTTTATGATATGGATAGATTACTGTTTTGCTTTGCTAATGGGCGCGCGTACGTTATATCTGGCCGTGTAATCAGAAAACTGTACTGTTGCTGTCAAGGTGAACGCTATACACACAATATTCTTTATCAGTTTAACAATCGTTCCCTATATGACACATACACTGGCCACCACTGTCCATACCTGTATAACTCTAATATTGTTCATATTTTTATCTGTTGTATATTTTGTAAATCGTTAAGCCGATACCCTCTCCCAAACGGGTTCGTCGTCGTTGTGTCTCGCCCGGTGTGTAGGAATTTTTTCGTGCTCTCTTCCCTTTGAACCACCGTTGTGGTCTATTTTGCTGTGTGCGTGCAGCCAATTATAGTTTTTTTTTTTTCTCGTGAGTGTTGTTCGTTTTTAAAAATGCACTAATTTAACAAGGCGTCGGCCATTTTCCGGGGCCGAGATCCCCATCTTAGGATGAGTCCCATCCGGGACTGGGTATCGTACATAGTATTTTATTTTATTTAATATATTGTTTTGAGCCTTTCTTTTTTTCTTTTTCTGTTATAAATTAATTTTATTATGAGCTATAAATAATTTTAGCGTTGCTGGTTATAAGGTTATTGGTTAGTGGTGTGTCATGTATATTTAACATATATATATATATATATATATATTATTCCCGCAGTGCCCAAGTACGGTCCGGCCGGCCAGATTACAAAAATTATCCGCCGCGTCCGGAGTACACGGACTTGTTCCGACGCGGAAGACACTTCATGTGATATTTAAAAGTTGTAGGTTAATTTTTTTGTCTTAATAATTGTTTTTTTTTTCTCTTTTGTCCCTTTCTTTGCAGAGTGGTTTTTGCCTTCGGGTTTTGTCCACTATTAACTTAATTGTAATAATTTAATAAAGTCCCCTTAATTTTCTTAATCAACAAAAATCTTTTTATTGCGTGAATATCTTCAATATTCACGTGTATCTTATTTTTTTTTCCTTTAAATCATTTTCTTTAGTTTTAAGGTAACGATCTTCGACATATTAAAGTATGTCCACCACTGGTGACATCAAATAAACCTATTTGTTATAGTTACAAGGTATCTGCGTATTATAGTCTACAACAACACTTTATATTTTAGTATATAGATATATATATATATATATAATTTTTTAATCCACTTTATTTCATCAAAGTGAATATTATTGGTTTTCTTATTATTTTTTTTTTAAATTTTTTTCTATTAAATCCACTTATGGTCCGGGTGTTGTTCTTTTCTGATCAAGACCCTCGCCTAAGTGGTTGGCGACCCGATCTCCTTTTGCAAGGGAGCCATGAGGGTGGCGATTCCACAATCCGTTGCGTGGCCCAAGTCGTCACCTCTCATGTTAAAAAATATCGAGCCATTAAGCAATAAAAACATAAAATCTAAAAAAAATCATAAACTCCTTCAAAATATGAATGAAAATATTGAAACACATATCAATGACATAAAGCATCTGACACTTCACCGTAAGGTTAAAAGATCATGGGAAGGCGCAGGTAGCGCAATCAAATGGTTATTCGGTAATGCTGACGCAGAGGACGTCAAACGTTACGATAATATGATCAACAAGCTTGATAATGACGAGAATGACATCCTTAGAATTGTACATGATCAAGTATCTATAATTAAAAGCACTATTTATAATTTTAATGAATCCGTTACATCTTTTAATGATAACAAATTGATATTTGATAATAACTTAAGTAAAATTTCTATTGCTATATCTGGACTACAAAATATTTCTACTAATTCCGTAGATTTTGAAAATATAATTATTACTCAGTCTCTAATCGAAAATAATATAAATTCATTAGAAAATACACTTAGTAAATAAATCTTGGCCATAATATTTGCCCAAAAAAACCAATTACATCCAATAATTATTAAACCTGACCAACTTCTTAATGAGATCAATCATATTTTAGTAAAAATACCTAATAATTTACAAGTATCTATAAACATTAATATTGAAAATATTAATGAAATATTTAAAATCTTAGAAATTAAAATATATTATAATAATAAAAAATTAATTACTCTTATTAAATTACCATTAAGTAGTGTAAATAATTATATATTAGTAGGGTAAAATAGAGAGTTCTAGAACCCCCCGCCTCACCCCTCACCACCCATCAGTATTGTGGGTGGGCGTGGTCTGGAGGGAGGGGCGTGACACACAGTGGGCTTGGTCTCTCGATGGTGGGGTAATGACCGTGGTCAAGGTCACACAGTGGGTGTTGTCTTTCGATGGTGGGGATAAGGGGAGGCGTGGTCTTATCATAGCAGAGTAAAGGAGAGGCGTGGTCTCACGATGGTGGGGGTAATAGGTGACTTAGGTGGGGTGTTTAGGCCAATCAAAATGACGGTTTAAAGTGCGCATGCGCACTATAACTTCATGTCAGTGGTGGGGGAGGTAGCCATTCGGAAATGGTTGTTGTCCTCCTACGATGTCATCTACTGGAGGGTAAGGTAAACCTCATGTGAACTGATAACGATAACTGATAAACGTACGTGTAAACATACACATTACATTGAAATAGTGTACGTCAAATAGTGGCCGCCGTTGCCACTTTAACATATTTACTTAATAATAACGCAACAGGGGTGTCCGTCAACAATTCCTACATAGGAAGGGAGTAATGAATCTTGACACAAACTAACCTGTAATGGGTGAGGATGAAACAAGACGTAAACTAATTTGCCGCACATCTATACATTGTATAAAATAAATAATTTCTAAAAATTTTATCATCAACTACCAGACGCATAGCTTAGGAAATATTGTGGTATGATTTATTTTTAATTTTAGAGAAATTCAGGGGTGTTACACCAAAGTTCCTCCAATTTTGGAAAAAAAAAAAAAAAAACGAGGTCCTATTTTACACTTTACCAGGATACTCGCCCATACATTACTATGGTTCGAAAGATTTACACCCTGTATATATAATTAATATAAATGTATACATTACATTGAAATAGTGTACGTCAAGTAGCGGCCGCCGTCACCACACTTGTCCTTGACTATTACAGAAGTTATAATTCATTGAATTATACATAATAATTATAATGTCGTTATCGGTGGTTACAATCAATTATTTGTCACCGTCGAGAATGTCCTACATACAATCGTTGGTAATAACACTTCGGTGATAACATCTAAGTGGGTAAACCGAATCAAAACAATTGGGTATGACGTGCGCATAATGGTTGACACCCAATGAAAACTAACCCAAGTCGGAGGGGAGGGGGATCTCCTCTTCCTTCAACAAGTCCTAATGAGCGAAGGGGTAATGAAACTTGACTTAAACTAACCTAATAGGTGGGGTGCGGATGAAACTCGACGTAAACAAACTTGCCGCATGTCTATAGATTGTATATAATAAATAATTTCTAAAAATTTTATCATTGGTTACCAGACGCATAGCTAAGCATATTTACAAAGTCAAAGGTACCATTATCGTCCAGACGCATTCACTCATTATCTTTTCTAAAGCGATTATACCAAAAACCATTTGTCAGATTATTTCTATTTGTTGTCCTGAAGAATTTCTATGACTTGTTGTCTTTTGATATAAAATAAAATAAGTAATACATTTATATATATTTTTCATTTAAAATGTTTTCTACTGACTTTGGTTAATAGTTATGTTTAGAGTTGTTAAAAACTTTATTAATTTTTTATTTTAGAATGGAGCAATTAAAGAAACAGTTGAACGATCAGAGTACATTAAAAAAATATTTAAAATTAAGTGATTTGGAGGAACACACGCCATACAAAGTCATATCTATGAATAATACAAGCACACGAAATGGGGTTGTCGTTGTTGGTTGTCTATTCAACAATATGAATGTGTTTATCCCGAGATTGAAATTAACTAATGAAGAAATCGAAGCTTACAATATCAACAATGACGATAACAAATTACATTTATTATATAGAGGCAAAATTGGAAATGCATATTTGTTTGATATTCATTAATTTGTTAATATTTTGTCTTGTTTTTTAAACTTATTTATATAAATTAAAAAAAAAAACTTATTATATTATACTTGTAAGATTTAAAATTCAATAAAATATAATATTTTTATTTTATACAATTTTGTCATATTTATTTACACTTTATGCCTTTGTGTATAATGAATATTAAATATAAGTCTGTAGTACTAAGCAGTACAAAGAAGAGTTTTACACATTAAATATATACAGCAAATTTAGTATACGCTGTGGTATTTGATGCACGTTGTACTATGTATGGTATGTAGTAGGCTGTTTATAAAAGTAGTAGGGACACTGTGTCGGTTTACCGAACAGCGTATCCTGGAATCGTATAATCTCGATTCAACAAGTCTGAACATGTTAAAACCTATCTAAACGCATTCAAATCCCCGTTCATACTGTTTGAACCCCGTCTGCCTGTGTTTACAACTGTTTGTAACACATCTGCCGGTAACAATTAGACTAATTATTGCTATTGGTTTAAGTTAGTTAATAATTTCACCGTGGTGTATGCATAGCGCTATAATCGTTATAAGATTTTCTATATAAACAAACGTTGCTTTAACTTGTTGGTAATGTGTTATGTCGATATTGTATGCTTTAAGAATGGCTGGCTCTCTCGCTACAATTGCTAAATTCTATAACAAACATTTGTTAAACCCCAACCTCAAAGTGAATTAATCGATTGCACTGATTACGTTTTGAATTTCAATCCTCGTAAATTCGTTCAGATAGGATTGGATCCAAAAGATCGATTTAACGTAACTATTCGTTTACTATCGTCAACCCGTTACATACTTATAACGATAGATTTCCTACAACGGATTTATACGTTGATGGGTAATATTCTGTCGCTAATTCTCGACCCGGTATCAAGACAAAAGATTATTTTACTCAAGGATGAATACGTTACACTCTCAAAAACTACGTTTCAAGGAGAGTCTTCGCTAGTCTTTGAATCACAAGCACAAGATGAATGCCGAGTGTTACTCACCCAATCAGACATTTTAAAACTCAGCGCTTTGGAATGTTGTATCTTTGAGACTATCAATCAAAAGATGACTGTAATTCAACCATTGGTTCTACAACAGTTGGAACAGATGGCTCAATATATGAAATCTCAGTATGAAGTAAATGTGGAAAACAAATGTATGTTGATCAATGCGGTTTCGGATTATACGATTAGAAATAGTTTACCCAATAGCGATCTGAGCTACATAAGCCAAATAAAACAATTTGCAAGCTAGCAGTTGGAACAACGGTGGACGATGCTGGAAGAATATACTAAAGAAATGGTGAGTTACATTTTTTTTTTTTTCTAATTGAGTAGAACGTATTTAATAAATATAAATCATTTTTTTCAGTCTTCTAACGGAGAAAACGTATGCTCGACATTTTTTGGGTCGCTGGCCGATGATACAATAGATGCAAATATACAGTCGGAAACAATCATACCATCAAGTACAAACAGCCAAGAAATACCAACAGTAGTTGTTAGTAATATCTATCCGTCGTAAAACGACAAGTATCTAAAACTTGTATATAATTTATAAAAAAAAAATTGTTTAAAATAAACGTATGTTGCATTGACAAAATAGTGCTGTTATTATTAATACATACTTACTCTGAGACATAGTGAAAATCTCATTTTTAACGTAATTTGTAATTAAAATTATAATGGATATAAAGACTATAAATACGTTTAAAGAATAATGTTTAAAATAATGATTATTATCTAAGATTTTATTTCTCTAATAACATCATATGAAAAAAACTCTTTTTTCTTCTTCTTAATTATTCAGAAAGGTTAAAACATGGTCAAAAACCTAGCTGTATAATATCATATGCATGTAAAATACCGTAGGGTATTCTTAGAGTTTTGGTGGATAATACTTTATACCTTACCATCAAAATGTGACATCTCATTACGTAACTATAGCTTAAATACTATGGCATACTTACACGTTCAACTATTGTACTGTACAGAAGAGAAAAAAACGTTGTAGTATATATATATATTATAGGGATTAATAAAAATGTTAAATTACATGTCACAATGAATGCGTTTATATATGTTTATATGTTTTATCTTAGATGTACACTGCAGTACGATAACACTCCGTGTATTATTTTTAGTATCGCGCTGTCCGTCAATCCAGTGACACTTAATATTTGTACTCTTATTTTTATGTATATATACATCATATTTCATTATTAAAAATTATTAATTATTATAAATTTTAATTGTAGTATTTTTGTAATAAATATAAATACTAAAACACTACAAATTGGTGACCTCTAAAATGAATAACAAATCCGATAGTGCGATAGTAAGTGTGCGTGATGACGCGACCGGTAATGATGGCCGAGACCATATCGAATACGGTGAGCCTAATATGAATTCAACGCGAGCGTTTAAAATCCCAACTTTCTGGCGCACCAACCCAGAACTTTGGTTCAAACAAATTGAATCCGTTTTTTATACAACCAGAATTACAGCTGACGCAAGTAAATTTCATCATGTTGTTTCCTCTATGGAAAGTGAAATTTTTGCTCAAGTTAGTGACATAATACTCAATCCACCAGAAACGAAAATGTACGAAGCATTAAAAACCCGGCTCATCGAAAGATTTTCCGAATCTGAACAATGTCGGCTTAAAAAATTACTGACCGAAGTCGAACTCGATGATCGGAAACCATCCCACTTTCTTTCAGAAATGCGTCAACTAGCTAATGGAAAAGTAACTGATGAAATACTCAAAACACTATGGATACAAAGGTTACCACATCAGGTAAAAACTATCATTTCAGCTAGCAACGACAAGTTGGATAACTTAGCTTCGATGGCAGATAAAATTATCGAAGTATCGGACAGCCGAAATGATGGTTTTTCCATTTCCAACATTAGTGACAAGGTCACAAACCGTCAGTCTCATGAACAAGCTGACGATGCAACGACAATAAGAAAATTGGAACACCAGATCGCAGCACTCGCACAAGCAGTAAGGCGACTTAGTAACAGCAACTCTCGTAGCTACAATAGGCGTCACTCAAAATCACCTATGCGCCGAGACCATTCACTACCACGATATGATACGTGTTATTATCATTACCTATTCAAAGATAAGGCTACTAAATGCAAACCACCGTGTAAATACCAGCACACGTCGGAAAACTATAAACGATCTACTGTCGAGACGACCGACGGTAGTGAGTTTCAATCTCGTCGTCTATTTATTGTTGATAAAATAACAAAAACTCAATACTTAATTGATACTGGTGCGGACTTTTCGGTTTGGCCAGCAGATCCTAAGCAGAAACGCAATAAAATAAAAGATGGTAACCCTACTTTATTCGCAGCCAACGGGTCAATAATAAAAACATACGGTGACAAATTAATTGCTGTAAATTTAGGTTTAAGACGTGTTTTTAAATGGAAATTTATTGTCGCAGCAGTCAGTAAACCAATTATAGGTGCTGACTTTCTCCACTACTTCGGCTTATTAGTGGACTTAAGAAGTAAACGCCTAATTGATGAAAATACCAATTTAGCCACCGCCGGAAAAGTTAAAAAGACGATATCCTCGGGCATCTTCGCTTTTAAAGACGATTCAGCGTACATTAAGTTACTCAAAAAATTTCCGCAAGTATTAAGAACAAACATGATCTCAATGGATTGTAAACATAACATTACACATCATATCATCACTAAAGGACCACCACTCTTCGCTAAACCAAGACGCCTTCCTCCGGATCGACTAGAGATCGCAAAAAAAGAATTTGCTTATTTAGTAGAACAGGGCATATGCCGACCTTCAAATAGTCCGTGGGCCAGCCCATTACAACTAGTAAAAAAGAAGAACGGTGAATGGAGACCGTGCGGCGACTACCGTAGGTTAAACGCAGTCACATTACCGGACAGATACCCCATTCCACACATTCAAGACATCACACAGCGATTGCAAAATAAAAGTATTTTTTCAAAAATCGATTTGGTTAAAGCTTTTAACCATATACCAATAGAACCGTCCGATATTCCAAAAACAGCTATTACAACACCTTTTGGGTTATTTGAGTTTGTTCGGATGGGATACGGTTTTAAAAATGCAGCTCAAACATTTCAGCGTTTCATACACGGTGTTTTAAAAGACTTAGATTTTTGTGAAGTGTATTTGGACGATATTTTAATTGCATCGTCTTCAATACAAGAGCATTTGAGCCACCTCGAACGTGTATTACAACGACTCAGTGAGTACGGCATTATGATAAATACGAATAAATGTATATTTGGGAAAGAAGAGGTACTATTTTTAGGATACATCATATCGGGTAACGGTCTTAGACCAAATCCTGAAAAACTGGAAGTGATAGACATATATCCACGGCCGAATAATGTTCAAGAGCTTCGACGTTTTTTGGCTATGTGCAATTTTTACCGCCGTTGTATTCCAAACGCAGCAAGTACACAAGCTATTCTTCACGATTATCTTAAAAACAGCAAAAAAAACGACAAAACACCAATTGTATGGACCGATCAATCAACGGGAGCGTTCGAGAAAACTAAAGAAGACTTAAAGCGAGCCACAACATTATCATATCTAGATCCGGCCGCGAATATTCAATTACGATGTGACGCGTCAGATATGGCGATAGGCGCAGTAATAGAACAATTTAAAAACGGCGTTTGGCAACCACTTGCTTTTTTCTCTCGCAAACTTGACCAAACACAAAAAAAATACTGTGCATACGATCGTGAACTTCTTGCGGTATATGAAGCCATTAAGCATTTTCGCTATATGCTGGAAGCCCGTGAATTTGAAATAATTACGGACCATAAGCCGTTAGTATATGCATTCACACAACACTCAGATAAATTACCACCTCGACGTGCACGACAACTTGATTTTATTAGTCAGTTTNTCACCTCGACGTGCACGACAATTTGATTTTATTAGTCAGTTTACAACATCAATACGGCACGTAACAGGTATACAGAATACAGTGGCCGATGCGTTATCGAGAATAGAAACTATAAATGCACCGCCACCGCTAGATTATGACAAGTTATCTTACGACCAGTTAGCAGACGCAGAACTATTGTCGTTATTGTCAAAACCGGAATTATCGATAAAACTAGAGCTCGTAAATATGCCCACTACGAACACAAATATTTACTGCGACACTTCTAATGGTAGACAACGACCGTATCTTACCAAACAATTTCGCCGCAATGTGTTCAATTGTCTACATAATCTCGCTCACCCAGGTATACGGTCAACAATAAAATTAGTGAGTAGTCGTTTCGTGTGGCCGTCGATGAACAGTGATTGTGTGAAATGGACTCGTGCGTGTTTAGCGTGTCAAAAGTCAAAAATAACGCGACATGTTATAAGTCCATGTGATATTTTTAATGTGCCGAGTGATCGTTTTTCACATGTACACATCGATATAATCGGTCCTATGGTCATGTCACGTGGTTGTACTTACTGTTTAACCGCTATAGACAGATTTTCTAGATGGCCAGAAGTTTTTCCAATTCAGGATATTTCGGCTGAAACCATAGCTCGTACGTTATTTGAAGGCTGGATAGCTCGNATTCGGCTGAAACCATAGCTCGTATACGGGTACGAAAACCAAAAATAAAATTATACAGGAAAATTGTGTTAGTGTTGAGTGGTGAGCGGGGTGGGGTGAATGCGTTACGACAGTCTAGTATCAAGGTCATAGACGACGGGATACGCGACATAATAACACGTACCGCGTGGAGTTACAAACTTACATGTGAAACTAATAAAAGAGTGTTAAAAAAATCATAATTTCTTAAAATTACTAAATGAAAACAATATAAACTACTAGGCTCCGCCTAGCTGGGACTCCGCCCCAGACCCGGAGCCCTACGAGCCTTACGCGCGTAAGCCTCTTCGGGCCGTCATCATAAGTAGGCCACTGATTCTGGTAGGGGTACCCGGCTACGATAAGTGTTTTGCAGAAAAAATATTACATAAAAATCAGTGAAACAAAAATATATTAAAAATGTTATTATTAAAATCAGGAAAATTCAAAAAGAGAATATAGTAAAATTTATTAGGTATAATGTTAACGTTTGTTAATGAGGTATTCCCTTTAGGCCTATTCAAGAATTATTTTAGGAGGGTATTAATTATTTTTAACTTTGTTAAACATGTTATAGAATTTTTTTGCTAAAAATTTAAGTAATGATGAAAAAAAATGACATTAGGTCGTTATTTATTAGAAGTTGCCTAAAAAAATATTGATAGCGCTGGTTCAAGGGGGGCTCATATCTCCCTTAAATACATCCCTGGTATACACAAAAATTATTAATATTCTAATTATAATAATTGTGTTTATATTATAAAATAATTAAAAAAAAATTCAGCGGGTTATTATACGCGGGACTATGTAAAATATTTAATTTTTATAAAAATATTGATAACTGCGATTTAACGTTGGACAACATAGCTGTCATAGATGAATCCCAATTTAAAAGATAAACTCATAGACTCATACATCATATATGAAAACAAAACCCAGCACAGTGGGGTCGCAGCATAGTTGAGTCCAGTATAGATTTAATCTGACAGTGATTAAAATCACTATCATAAGAAACGCTTCGATGCAAATCTGTAGATAGTGTTTAATTCTAAAAAATTGATGGATAATTACAAAAGCAACATCAACTTCTATTTCCTTAATTATACCCAGATTAGTAATTCTTTTAATTATATATTATATAATTTTTAANTTTATAACATGATTAGTAATTCTAAGATTCAAAAATATAATATATAATTATATATTTAATTATTATAAATATTTTTATAATTAATTGTTTTTAAATTATTTTTGATTTTGATTTTTAATATGTTAATAATTTTCCTGGTGACCGAGTACTTTCGTTGAAAAAAAAAATTTTGAAATTCCGAGCACGCTAAGTAATTTTTCCAGAAAAACGTTTTTTTCCTTGTTCTATTATATAATAAGATATTTTATTACATGAGAACGATTTTATAGGTATGTAATTAATGTTAACATTAGGACTTACTAAAATTTATAACCCATAGATCTATTCACTAATTATTACACTACTTGAAATCACTAAACTTATATATAAGTAAAGTATTCGTAATATACAAAATACAAAACTAGTGATATTAGCGATATTAATTTAAATATTAAAAAAAATTATTCTATATAAGTTTAGCCTCATTTTGAGGCCCCGTAGGAGTTATGCAATCTAATTTTTCAGAAGACTACATGTAATTTTTCCCTTTAGAACAATAAATACAAATTTCTTAAAGGGGACTCTAAAAAAAATTTTAAAAATTTAATTTTACTCTAAATTTTACCTCTTTAAGTTGGCAATAATTGTGGCCTGGTATATGAAGTCTAAATGAGCTGCCAAAATTTTGATACTAACAAAAAAAAAAGTTGAAATGGCTATACTTTTATACTTGAACCATTTCTCAATCGCAGTGGAATTTATCTAGTTCCTGTTGTAACCAAAATAATATTGAATTGTCTTTATATCTTCATTTTGTTTAATCTGATTTTAAATTTTAGTAAATTATCAAAGGTTGATTGACTACATTTTTTTACATTGCTAGTAATTTGATTAGTAATTTCTGCTAGTACAGATAAAATATTTTGAGTGCATTATACTTCATTACTATCATCTATATTTAATAAAGATTTTTTAACATATTGTTAGTAGTGTGGTAAACTGGGTTTTCTACATCCATTTTGCCCACGCGGATGAGTGTAATCGAGAAGAGTCAAAATAATAACTATAATGTAACATTCATCGATTGTACACTGACCACCGAGTGAGTGGTCAGGTCCCTTTTTATTAGAAATAATAATCAATTAACAATGCTTCTAGTGTTATACTTTCTAATGCAATTAATAATAATCTATTATTTACTTTTACTTTCTAATAATACAAATTCCTTAAAACTAATATTTACATATAGTTATGGGTTCATGACAGTAGAAAGTAGTATTATATTTCCATTGTAATTATGAAATGCTTGAAAAGATACTGGACCTTCAAATGTTTTTTTATGGGCCTTGTTACCTAGTGCTAATATTGATATGAGATATTTGTATTCTACAGTAATTTTACTTCAAAGTAGAAAATTTCCGATAATCCGATAATTAGTTACATTGAGATAGAGGGATGTTAATGAATGCGATAGGAGGACGACTGATGTGTGCGTAGATGATGTAGGAGGGATTTCATGTCATGTGGAAGTTTAAAATAAGAGTAGGGAAAAGCAGAAGAAGAATTAATTACATTGTAGAATTTTATGTAATAACGATTTTGTAAAACAATATGATAAATTTCCAACAAAAAATGAATAATTATTTACAGATAACAGTTCATATAATAGAGACACATATCTTGGCCCCAAACACTACATCAATATCAAACTCCCATGTTGAAAACATTGAAGATGCCAAACCAATCTGTATAACCGTGAAATAAAATATCATGAAGCAGAGCGTCGGTTATCGCCACAATACTACAGAATAGAAAACATCTAATCTACACCTTAATTATTTGTGATTATATGCTCAAAAAATACATGTTGCTTATCAGTCTTAACTGTTTTTGAAGTTTTGTTTTTTCTATTAGGTATATGCTTATAAAATTGTTCCGAATAACTTAATTAAGTGTCATACTAACTTTCATTTAAATGTTACATGGTTAATTGTTAAAAGTTTAAAGTTAGTTGATTTTTTCATGATTTCAAATTTAACCTATTTGACCTTATTTTTGTTTTTAACAATTCACTGTGAATATTAAAAAAAAATCGTTTTTGTATTGTCGTATTTTAAATGATTACTTTAGAATTTAAATTATTTTTAGAGTTGTGTACCATATTCATTATTAAAGAATATGACAATTAATAAATTTGATTATTTGTATAGAAAATTACTTCTATCTAAGTATTTTGTTGATGGATGGGGTGATCCAGATAAATTGAAAAGGTTTGGCATTGAATAATGTAGATAATTATTCTTAATCTTGATTATTATTTTTTTATTAATAAATACACTCTTAAAGGTAATAATATTATGTTAAATACCCATCAGTTCATGAAAACTTTTTTACAATATATGAAATTGATCAGTATTTTTTTAACAATTATTATTATGGTTAAAGTACTTGTTTTGGCCACTTTAAAATAAAATATATTTTTTTTTTATGTGTTAATTGTGAAAACTTAAAAAAAAACTTAAAGTACACATTATTTAATTCAAAATTTTTTCCTTTTCTAAATGATTTGCATTTTTGTTTAAAAAGGTTTATAAAAAAAAAACTACTAGTTTTGGTCAACTTTTCATATGAAAATAAATAACCATGGACTTAATTTTTTTTAAGTATAACAAGATCTTCAAGTGACAAAAAAAACATTGATAACTATTTCCTTTATTCTATATAGAGTGTTCCATTTATTTTTCCAATTAAATATATTTTATAGGAGACATTTACTAACCATATTTAATGTCAAGACTAGAGTAACCTTGCTCGTTACTTCACATTAATATCTAAATATTATGTTTATTAGTTTTAACTTTCTTTACTTAAAAAACGTTTTTAAATTCTTAAGGCTTATTGTCGTAATTAAGATTTTATCATGGAGGGATATATATAAAAAAATTTTTTCATTCGTTCAAAATGAAAACAATGTAGTCATTTTGTCTTACAATTTTAACTGTCATTGGAGAGAGGGATATAATATCTCTATTTGCTATGATCATACTAATAATATTAATTAGTTATTTTTTTAAATGTAATTAATGTAAAAAAATATGTTTAGTAGTTATAAGAATATACAAATACAAGTATGTCTAGACAGTAAGGTTGAAAGGCTCTTATGAGTTTTTGAATTTTTTTTTCAATGGTTTTATACCTATCTTATAGAACAAGTCTTCAGAATCAATATGAGGGTTTAGTAGATTTGTTCGATGGAAATACCATCACTGTATTAATTACTGCAGAATAGTTCAAGAATACATTTGTTGCTAGTATTCATTAGAATTTCTTGAGAATTTTTATGGAATGTAATTATTAGGATGCTTTCTGTTCAGTAAGTAAAATTGTTTTAGGAATACTGGAAAACACTTGTGTTTCAGAAATGTATAAAAAATTTCAGTTATATAGGAAAAATTTTGTATCAAGTCAAGGATGAGCAAATTTGGTCTTAATCTGCATACAATATCCTTTAAATAAGTTCATTAGTTTTATTCACATTTAAAATATTTTTAAAAAATGTTCAGAAGCTGGTAAGTCTCATATGTTGACCAATGTGAAACTCTTTTTAATTTGCTGTAAGAAATTGTCCAATATGATTTTCTACACTTTTCTTTGATATGAGTGTGTTAACTGTGTGATACACTGTTTAAAATTCCTTAAGAGTTTTTGATGGATACTGGCAGTAAATTTGTTTAAGTTAATGAAAGAGCATATGATAGCATATTGATTGATGGTACGATAAATGGTTCTTGTAATTCAATACAATAATGATACTGTGATATTTTTATTTTAACAGATCTATTAAACCTTGCATATTGATTGTGAAGATTTGTTTTACAAGAGACATGTATAAAACTTTAAAAAATTTTAACTTATGACCTATAGCACCTTGTAAGCTTACTATCAGAAAGATATTTTGCATTCTTTTCATTAATTTTTTTTTTATATATGGTAGTTTTTATTTATATATTTTGTTTTACATTACTTCTATAGTTGAAATAATCTTTGAATTATCTCATCAATTAAATTACTGTGGAGATAATATCATATTATAAAATCATAGTTATATAAATGAATAGATTGGAAATGAGAGGTGATTCGTCATATTAACATGACTTATATGTAAGAGGATTCATCAGACATTTTATTTACTATCATAATATTTTATTATATTCTTTGTATACATTTTAAATTCATAACACAAAATAAGAAATTTTTAATTTTTTCTACTATGAAAAAGTATTTTGATGCAATATGTGATGGTATTAAAGTAATACTTGTAAAAAGTCATTCCTGGTCTATTTATGTCTATAAAAAAATTTCAATAATTATTAATTAAAGATTATGTCTAAAACTAAAAATCCAAAACAACATTTAAAGACTAATTTGTTATTAGTGCTAAAGAAATAGCAAAGATTTATTAACTTTTTTTGATTAAGGTTAAAATTGTTTTTTACAAATTGATGTTAAAAAAAAAAATTGAATGTATTTTGAATATTTTAAAAATTAATTATGTTGTACTAAATTTACTTTAACTTCTTTAGTGACAATAAATATTCATTATAGACTGAGTGTATTTATTGATTACTTATTCTTTAATTTGCTAAAATATTAATTTAATCAATTGTTTTTTTTTAATTTTTAGAGTTTTATATATTTCTTTTAATGTATGACTTTTATATAATTTAATTAATTATTTAATGTTAATTGTCCAGACTTTATAAATATATCAATTATGTGTAAAATTCTATAAACTGAATTATATAATTAAAAAGTAATAATGAAAAAAATTAGGAAACTTCCATATGTTCAAAATTTTTCAATAATTTGAAAATTATTGCTAAGAGGTTAATTATGATTATATTTAGGATAAAGCGTGTAATTTTATTTTAGATTATCTTAAAAGAAATACTGATTATATATTTAAAAACATAAATGCTAGATATCAGTTACAATAAACTTCAAAGGTCAGAAGTTTTTACTTGTTGTAAATGTTTATGTGACCGTATCTTTTAAATAAATAATATTACAAAAATAGAAAAGGGATACTATTTATCACGTTAAAAGATGAATTATTTTTATGGATTCATTGTTGAGTTGTAACAAAAGCACACTATTTAAAAAAAAAAATGGGATTTTTTTTTTTTATCACCCTCTGGTATTAGAATGGTAATTTTGTATTTCCTAGTAAAATTATTAATTTATTATAAATAGTAGTGTTTTTCTGTTTGTTCTTTTTCATGTATTTTTGTAGCTGATGTTTTGTTCTAACCATTCTTGTTACAAACTTACATAGTGTGCCACAATATTTTGACAAATTTAATAACTTTTGATCTACTTAATATTTTGTATTATTTTTTTTTTTAATAATTATGTATTATTATACTATGCTAAAATCATATTTTTTATTATTTACTTTAAAAAAAAAAATAAAAATAATTTTTTTTATTCATAACTTAAAAATAGTCACTTTTTAGAGCTTTTTTTACAAACATTGTAATTGGTTAATAACTATTTTAGAACGAGTATTAAGTTACAACCATTTTAATACGTAGAGTGAGTATGTAGTATGGGATGACTATGTGTTATAAATATACACAGTACGATCTTTACCTCTAGTATCGCAAAATATTTAGTGGATCAAAAATTATTAAATTTGTCAAAATATATTGGATCACCTCAATGTATATTGAGACCTGGTATTTTGTTTGTTCTAGGAAATACTCATTCTAACTGATATTCATATTAATTTTTACTGTACTTGTTTATAGATTATTAAATTCTTGCCTCGAGTGAACAATGTTTTATAAAAACTAAATATCACTTTTTTTTTTATAAATACAACTTTATTCAAAATGCATTCAATTTGTTTACTATTATTTATTTATTTAATATTATTTTATGTAATATGTTTTATTTTATAGATTATTTGAATTCAGAAAACTGATAGTTAACCGTGATTCATGTTATAAGTTAGTGCCTCCTAATTACCCTGTTGAAATTGTTAAGGTAATAACAAGGCTAGAACTATTTATTTTTAAAAATGAATAACAAATTGTTTTTATTTATTTAGAAAAATGAAGATACAGACTCTATAACTTTCGAGGGAGTTTTTCAGTCACCATTTTCTTTTTATCTTCCAAAAATTGTACCAATTGAAAGTCATTTAGCTCATTTTCAACTTTTGCTTCCCAAAAAATGGCCTTCCAAAGGCATAAAACCAGTATGTTTACATATGGCAGGCACAGGCGACCAGGTATTTGTGAATTAAAATTTTTAGATGATGAGTTAGGTTGGATAAAAAATATACGCGAACTATTATTGGCATGTATGTTTAAATGATAACAAAACACCAATTTTCAATTTGATAAAATAATTTTATGAGAATTTTAACATTGCTCAAAAGTTTTTATCTCTTCATTAGTATTTCTTAATGGTCATTTAAAAAACTGGGTTTTTCAAATTTAATAGATATCTGAGGTTTTTTCAAAAAAAAAAAAAATCAGTTTTACCCATTTAAAAATGGGTTTTTAGAAAAAAAAAATGTATTCAGTATATTAATTGTAAGACATTTTTTTAAATTTAACAATTGTATAAGATTATACTTTGAAGTAAAATTAAAAAGAAAAAATTAAAATTATTGATAATGGGTTAAGCCATTTTAGTTTCCACAAATTTCACCCTGAAATACATGTACCAGATGATTGTAAGTCTGTCATAACATCTGCTAGGAAAAGAAATCCATTTCAAATTGTCAATATGACAAAAAATGATTTTTTTTCAACTAAGTCTCTGGAGAGGCAAATTACAAATAGGAAAATTGATACAACACATCAGAAAGTGGAATGGCTCAAAATGCAGTGGTTACATTACAAAAGTGATCAGCATTTTAAGTGTAGTTATAGGTATTCTAATAATCCTGGTTTCCCATTTAACGTATTGATTGATAAAGATTGATTGATTGAACTTATTTATTGATAAAAGAAACTCTAAAATTGAAGACTATACCAGAAAGTTAAATCTATTGTATCCTAATGGCCATACAATCACAGAAACAAAAAAAAAAAAACCCAGCACAGTGGGATCGCGGCATAGTGGGGATGTTACATAGTTGGGTCCAGTATAGATTTAATCTGATAGTGATTAATATCACTATCATAAGAAACACTTTGATGCAAATATGTAAATAGTGTTTAATTCTAAAAAAATGATGGATAATTACAAGCAACGTCAACTTCTATTTCCTTAATTATACCCAGATTAGTAATTCTTTTAATTATATATTATATAATTTTTATATTATATAATTTTTATATTGAATTGTTTTCAAATTATTATTGATATTGATTTTTAATATGTTAAAAGTAATAATTTTTAACCTTCTTTATTTCGTCCTTTAAAGTGAATGTTTATAATAAAAAAAAAAAATGAATTTATTACCATAACTTTTAGCTCAACTGACAAATTTGAAATTGATATTATTAAAAAGAAAAAAATGAAATTATTAAGATTAATATGCAATCAAGAAATTATATAATTACTATTTGCAGTACATTTTCAGAAAAATTCGATTTTTTTGCATTTTTATCGTAATAGATAACTTAAATAGAAATAATAGTAATCATTTCCTAATAACTTTTGGTCTTTAAAAAGATTCTACAATGGAAATATTCAGAACTTAATTAATTTTAATGATTTAATTTAACTAAATAAATCAAACAAAACAAAGTTGTTAAAAAGATTTACTCAATTGAGTGTATTATAAAATTTGATTATAATTGTAAAAATCCATCGTTAAATTCAGATGAAACTAAAAATCATTTTTTTTTTAAATTAATGATTTATATAGCAAAATGTTACAAAAAAATTATAGACTGGTAGTAGCACACACAAATGGAGTTAAATATTAATAAATTACAAAGTAAAATGATTTACTTTTGTAGTTGAATACTTTTATTATATCAAATATAATTCGACAATAAATACTTTAAGAATATTAGAAATGAATGATTTTAATTGTGTGTATGGAAAAAGCTAGTTATGCTACTTTTTATTTGAATAAGGAATATTTTTTCGATTTTTAAGAGTAATAACAAACTAATCATTAACATAAATATCATGAACTTAAATGAATCATTTGACATATCGTTGAAAAAAGTAGGTGTAGTGAGGGTTGGCAAAATAAATCGTAGCCACAAAAAGAACCAAATAGTAAAATAATATTAACATGCATATAAATTTCTTCTCACGAGGGGATACAATAGTGATAAGATCTTTTATATTTATTGAATTTATTGAATCTAAATGAGATAAATATCAAATGATTTGAAAATTTTATTCTAACTCAAAAAAAAATGCAAAATATTAATAGTCGCAGACGGACTTGAACCTCGTACCCTAAGCGTGAAAGACCCACGTATTACCGATTCGGCAACTGTTCGTTGCTTTCGTCTTACGATAAAATTGGCTGTTTAAGCTAACTCAAATTTAAAAATTACTTTTTCGACTTTAAAAAAGTAAAAAAACCTAGCACAGGGGGGTCGCAGCACAGTGGTGACATGGCATAGATGGATCAAGTATAATGATATCTGACAGTGATTAAAATCACTATAAAAAAAAAAACGCTTCGATGCAAATCTTTAGAGTGTTTAATTTTAAAAAATTGGTGAATTATTCCAAAAGCTACATGATCTGCTAGTTCATTATTAATATCCTAATTAAGATAAAGTATGTCAAATGAAAAAGGGATTATTAAAAAATATTATTTTTCATAAAAAAATAATGTTGATCCATACACTTTTCAATATGTCATAGCATTATAAAGTTAAAAATGTGAAAAATAAAATTTTCACACAAGCTTCTCAGCTTCGCATCGAAGCCAAAAGATTTATTAGATTTACTTGCATTCATATCACGAATAAAACATCAATTTTATAATAGTCTTAAAGTTAATAAAAACATTTATGAAGATTATCCTGATTTAAATAAATGTGAAAATAATGAAAAGAAACTTGGAAACATTCAAATTATTTTTTAATTATTAGAAGTACATAAACATTTTAAGTTGTAGGTACACATTCTTATGAGATTTTTTTAAAAAATATATTTAAGCAGAGAATACCGTTAAGTTTTTGTTTATTTTATTAAATTTTATGATGGGGAATTGTTATAATTATGTTTCTTCAAAATATTATACAATGTTAAAAGGAGTAATACAGATTTTTATTATCACTAAAAGTTATTTTTATTATGTTTAATTTTTAAATGTTTAGAGGAGTACACTAAGATTTAGTTAAGTATTACAATATTACTATTATAATATTAAAATTATTTATTTTTTTGTTTTGTTTTTTGCACTAAGCACAGAAGACATAATGTGATAACTATTATTAATATTAATGATCTCTACAATAATTATAAAATGTTAATTTCAAACAAATTGTTTTGATTAATTTTATAAATTTTATGATGAATAATGTGTAATAATTATTATAATATATCTTTATTATGTAATGAATGTTGTAGGAAAACAAATGATTATTATAACTAAGTTATTTTTATCATGTGTCATTTTAAAATATTTATTGAAGTAAATTACAATTTTGGTATGTGGTCATATAATTTCATTTTTGTGGGTTAAGCTGTTTGTGTTCTATGTGCCTCAATTTCAAACATATATTTTACATTTTTCTTTTTTAGCTTTTTTTTGCAAAATCATGTATAACATCATTGAAGTTAATTTTTGATGCAAGTTAGTTTTCAATCGATAAAAGTGCAAGGGAATTGAGTTGTTCTTGGCTGATTGAAGCCCTCTGCCAAGTTTTAAGCTGATTTTTTGATTTACTAAATGCTCTTTCTGCTTCGGAGACAGTCATTGGGAGTGTAAAAAATATCCTTAAAGCAACAGAAGTATTCATAAAAATAGATTCTAATTTCTTTGAATAAATTTCGTTTAATAATTTTAGAAGAGGTATTTCAATGTCTGTTTGAATAATCGATTTATGAATATTGTTTAAATGAAATAATTTATCCATCATAGTAGGCGATAAATCATTAAAATATACACCAATTATTTTTTTTACGTTAATTTCAAGTTCTTCACGTGATAACTTCATGTAGCATAAGATAGGGGAAAACAGATTTAAGTTTTTGATGTGCTTCAAAGCGGCATGCCAAGTCAGTTATAATACCATCTATACTATTAAATATAACATCCCTTTTAAAAAATCCTGTGCTTTAATTGCTTTATTAGGTTCAGTAATAGTCTCTGATCAAACTTCGTCAAGAAAAACTTTTTTTTTCTTTGCCCTTCTTTCTTCTATAGGAAAATTTAGTTTAATATTTAAATTGTTTTCCACTAAATAAGCTTCATTTACAATTTTAAGCCATTCGTCTCTTATATTGTTCAATTCTTTAATCAAATCTTTTATTAAATCAATTTCAATTTCAAGAGATATACCTTTTGACTGAATAATTATACTTAGTTCATTTATAGAAAAAAGTACTTTGAACCAAAAACTGGCCATAGCTACGCATTCAAATGACGAAAAACATTTTTTCAACGCCATTGATTCACTATATATTTTGTCTGACATGTTAATTTTATTGAAAACTCTATTTAATGATTTTAAAATACCAGGAAGATGCTTGACAAATGGACGTATGGCTGAAACACGGGAACTTTATCGTATTTCAGACTGAGATTCTAATGATACACTAACCTCTTCACTTAAAATATTTCATTTTGCTGAATTGCTGAACTTACATATAAGCTTTGTACACATCCAAAAAAAGTTTTAACTCTTGAATGTATTTTTACTGCATTAAAACCGACGAGATTAAGGGAATGAGCGCTGCATGGTGAATAAAAAGCAATGTTATTTTTTTCTAAAATTCGAGCTTGTATACCCTTAATTTTCCCACTCATATTACAACCATTACCATATGCTTGGGCTTGACAATCCAGTAATGGAATTTTATGACGGTCTAATACTGTCAATAACATAGTAGCAATACTTTCACCTGTTTTTTCATTTAAGTTTAAAAACTCAACAAACCTTTCTTGAATTTCAAATGTTTTTGTCTCTTTATTACGCACAACATACTTTAAAATTAAAACATTCTGTTTTTGGTGTGAAATATTGGGAGTAGCATCAGCGATAATTGAATAATATATTGATTCAGTTCGTTTCTCAAGAATGTATTTTAAAACTTTATCACCACAAAGGGAAATAAATTCATTTTGTCTCACCCAAG